CATCGTCAGACAAACTGCCCACGGTAAACCGTCGGCAGAGGGGAGAGGAGGACAACAAACGAGGGAGGGGCTGTAATTACTGTAGTACTAACATACTAACATAATATGTCACCAGAGTGGCCTGGGACCACTTGCCCGGCCGGGCCAAAAGAGAAATTAAATATTAATTTTTAAAAAAAATAATATTTTTTCTTTATTTTTTTTATTTCGCAGAGAATTTCGGCCCGACCCTGAGGCACTCTGTAGAATCTGTATTACGAGGAAAAGCCATGGCTTGGTTTCCAGACTTCCCAGTTGATTTCTTGTTCCCAGTGGTTCTGCGACCTGCCGATATGGGCTTGGGCGGTGATGCCTTGTTCATGGTTGGTAGTGGGAGCCTCCTAGACGTATGTGAGGGACGCCGGGCATAATAATAATAATACGTGGGTTTCTTTTGACAAAACAACAAAAAAAACTCGTTCAGGTTTTTTTCTGCATAGCATTTTTTTTTGCGGATTTTTTGGATTTTTTTTTATTTTACAGGGACCTTCCCTGGTCCTTGCCCGCCCGGGCCGCCCGGGCACCCGGGCAACACAAGGTGCCACCCGGGCGGCCCGGTTCTGCACATAATTCGGATATATGTCTATATACATAATATGTATATCCACTCTCTATGACGATATGTATGTATGTATGTATGTATGTATGTATGTATGTATGTATATATATCGTATGTATGTATATATTGTGACATGATATCAGAGCGCCAAAGCGAAAAACAGAAACAAGAAAAACTTAATTCATTTTTAATCTTCTTCCTTACAACTCCCCCTCCTGTTCAGAACCTCTTGCGTACACGGCCCCGCCCACGTGGATGTAGGTTGAGCGGCGGCTGCCCCCACCCCCGTGTGTCATATCAACCCACTTGCACACGGCCAAAAGGCAAAGAAGCAAAGAAGAGAGGAAGGGAACAGCCAAATAAAAACAGGGGGCAACGAAACAGATCCCAGATGACGAGTCCCACCCACATGCAAGCACCGCCCCAGCACACACAGGCCAAACGACGGGACAAGACCAACCAGGATGTCAAAACATTCTTGTCTGCAAAGAAATCAAAAAAAGTACCAAAAATAACCCATCCCGGATGACGATTCCCACATACAAGCACCGCCCCGCGCTCAAAAGGCCGAACAACGGCAAACAACCAACCAGGATGCCAACGATATCATCCACGTGGCCGGCCTTGTACGTAAGAGGTGATGAACAGGCGGAGCTCCCTTTCCTTCCGTACTTCCTTCTTTCCTTTTTCTGTTTTGTGTTTTTTTTTGTATATAATGATATAATAACATATCTGCACATATATCGGACATATCTCTATATACTTAGTATGTATATATCCATTCTCTATGACGATAGTGGTTGGTGGTCCCCACCTCCTCAGACGGTATCATTTGTCGGGCAGTCATTGATGCTTAACCACAACCTGGGTTAAGGTTAAGGTGGATTATCACTTACAGTATAATCAGTTTAACTTAACGGATTCTGCGGACTGTTAACGGTTCAGCCTTTAACAGTGGAATCAGTTTAACTTAGCGGATTCTGCAGACAGTTAACGGTTCAGCCTCTCTACTGATTGATGAGTCAGTTGGTTCCACTCCGACGAAACAGTTTGTCACAGCCCCTCTTTTGTCTACATGTCCTCTTCTCCCTCTCCCTCTCCCTCTCCCTCTCTGCCACTACGGTTTAACGGTCTCCCTCTCCCTCTCTGCCACTACGGTTTAACGGGCAGCTCTGCTTGACAATATATATATTTATATATTGTCACATTGTGAACCAGAGCGCAGAAGCGAAAAAAAAGGGGAAAGAAAAAAAAGAAAAGGAAAAAAAGGGGAAGGGAAGAGGTAAGGAAAGCTCCACCTGTTCATAACCTCTTACGTACAAGGCCAGCCACGTGGATGACAGGTTGAGCGCATCCCCGTGTGTCACAAGGACCCACTTGCACGCAGCCAAAAGGCAAAGAGGTAAAGAAAGGGAGGAGGAAACCAAACCTGACAGGGAAAGAAAGATAGGGAAAGAAAGATAGGGAAAGAAAGATAATCCAATTATCACAAAGCAAATAACACATCCCACTTATATATTGTCACATTGTGAATCAGAGCGCAAAAAAGGGAAAAGAAAAAGGAAAAGGAAAAAAAGGGGAGGGGGAAGAGGTAAGGAAAGCTCCACCTGTTCATAACCTCTTACGTACAAGGCCAGCCACGTGGATGACAGGTTGAGCGCTGGCTGCCCCCATCCCCGTGTGTCACAAGGACCCACTTGCACGCAGCCAAAAGGCAAAGAGGTAAAGAAGGGGAGGAGGAAACCAAACCTGACAGGGAAAGAAAGATAGGGAAAGAAAGATAATCCAATTATCACAAAGCAAATAACACATCCCACAGATCCCACTTATACATATATATGATGATATATATAGCTCAATGAGTCCGCGAAGCTCCCAAGAAACCGTTTGTCACAGCCACTCGTCTATTGTCCTCTTCTCCCTTCTCCCTCCCTCTCTGCCTACAGTTGGAACTCCCACGAAACCGTTTGTCACATCCCCTCGTCTATTGTCCTCTTCTCCCTCCCTCCCTCTCTGCCTACGGTTTATCGGGCAGCTCTGTTTAATATATCGTCAAAAACAGAACTGCCCGGTAAACCGTAGGCAGAGAGAGAAAAGAGGACAACAAACGAGGGGCTGTGACAAACTGTTTCGTCGGAGTTTCACCGACTCATTGTCACATGAATATCAGAGCGCAAAAGCGACAAAAAAAAAAAAAAAAAGAATTCGTTTTTTTATCTTCTTCCTTATAACTCAACTCCCCCTGTTCAGAAAGAACCTCTTTTGCGTACAAGGCCGCCCACGTGGATGTAGGTTGAGCGGCGGCTGCCCCCACCCCCGTGTGTCATATCGACCCCCACTTGGACACAGCCAAAAGGCAAAGAGGCAAGGAAAAGAGGAAGGGAACAGCCAAATATAACAGAACAGGGGGCAACAAAACAGATCCCAGATGACAAGTCCCACATATATAAAATAATATATATATATAATATTTATATACCGTCATACATATACATGGTCATTTATAAATATATATACATCCTTGAAGGGTACAAATTATCTGGCGATTGATTTGATGGCATGTGGACGTATCTATCTGTCAGGCTTAGGCTCGCAGAAAATGATGAGATGCAGCAAACAATGATTGACAGCGCAGCGAGTACGGAAGGGGTATGAGGAGAAGACCGAGGGGGAGGAGGGAGGAGAGGAAAAGGAAGAGGAGAGAGAGAAGGTGAGGAAGGAATTGGAACACCGGCCGTTCAAAATGGGAGCGGAACTGTCCAGAGAGAGGACAGAGAGTACAGCAGGGTGCATTGCGGAGGAGGTTGGGAGAAGGAGGACAACGGGAAATACTCGATTCGAGCAGGGGCAAAGGTGCAAAAAGAAAAATTAAAAATAAGAGGGGGCGAAAGAGTTAGCGGATGTCGAGAAGGACCCCCGGCGCAACAAAAAAAAAAAAAAAAAGAGGGAAAGGTAGACGAGCAGAGCAAGCAAGAGGTACACGAGAAGGAGAGAGAGAGAGAAGAGCGCACAGAGAGACGGAGACGAGCCCGACGGTGGGAGATCAGGGAGGAGGAGAGGGAGGAGAGGGAGGAGAGGGAGGAGAGGGAGGAAGGAGGAGAGGGAGGAAGGCAGCGAGGAGGAGAGGGAGGAGGAGAGGGAGGGAGGAAGGAGGAGGAGAGAAAGGAGGAGAGGGGGGAGAAGGGGGAGAGGGGGGAGAAAGGGGGAGAAAGAGACAGGAAGTTGCACAGAGGAGGCGGCAAATCAGTAGTCGGGGTAAATGAGGAGGAAAATGAGGAGATGAAAACATGAGGACGGAAAAGCAGGCAGAGGAGGAAGAGGAGGCGGCGGCGGAGGAGGAGGAGGAGAGTGCGGCATTAGAAAAAAAAAAAAAAAAAAAAAAAGGGAGAGTGATGGACAGAAAGTAGCCCCCTTCAACAGGAAATAGTCCAGTTAAATAGCCCTTCTATCGCCCCCTTGTTTTGTTCAAAAGGACAGAACTAACCAGGTCAAAATGCAGCTGCACATTTGCATAACCAAGTGCATGCAGATCATGCACTTGGACATCCTCACATCCAGGTGCACTTTTTTTCTGATGGGGATAGCCTCTCCATTTCCAAACCTGAACGTACTGTTTATATACATCTCCCTAAATAGAAAGGCAACAAAGTGCACCTGGATGTGAGGATGTCCAAGTGCATGATCAAGAGGTAGTCTAAGAGTGAGTCAGCCAACAAAAGGAAGAAGAGAAAAGAAGAGGTGAGGAGGAAAGGAGGAGAGGAGGAAAGGAGGAGAGGACGATGACGAAGAAGGTACCATAAGGCGGAGGAAGAGGAGCAGAGGAGGAGGAAAAGGAGGAAGAGGAGGAAGAGGAGGAAGAGGAGGAAGAGGAGGAGGAAGAGGAGGAGGAAGAAGAGCCAGAGGAAGGAGGAAGAGGAAGAAAAGAAGGTACAACTGGAAGGAGGAAGAGGAGCCGGAGGAGGAGAAAGAGGAGGAAGAGGAGGAGAAAGAGGAGAAAGAGGAGGAAGAGGAGGAAGAGGAGGAAAAGAACGTACCATGAGGAGGAGGAAGAGGAGGTACCATAAGGAGGAAGAAGAGGAGCAGGAGGAGGAGAGAGGAGGAAGAGGAGGGAAAGAAGGTACCATAAGGAGGAGGAGGAGGAGGAGGAGCAGGAGCAGGAGAAAGAGGAGGAAGACGAGGAAAAGAAGGTACGATGAGGAGGAAGAGGAGGAACAGGAGGAACAGGAGGTACCATGAGGAGGAGGAAGAGGAGGAGGAGGAGGAAGAGGACGAGTAGGAGGAGGAGGAGGAGGAGGAGGAGAGGAGGACCACAATCTGACGTTAAGCGACGGTGGTAAAGCGCATCGAGCGAAGTTTGAGGAGGGGGAGGAGGAGGAGGAGGCGGTAAAGATGAGCAGCCCACCTCTTTCGGAAGTGGGCAGTGTGTGTTAGCTGCAGAGTTAACCCGCTGATCGGTCGTTATTTCACTTTATCAACCTCATCCGCACTCGCCGCGCTATTCAACCCACACTCCATACCACCGCAGTCCTTACCAACCATCATCATCAGACTGCTGCACGGCTTCTCTATCCCTTCTCCTCGCGATTGAAGGCCTTGACCCAGACCATCAGGCGCTACTCTCTCTCTCTCTCTCTCTCTCTCTCTCTCTCTCTCTCCGACGGGGAGAGCTCACTTGATTCGGCCCCGGAGGCCCCTGCCCCCAACTGGTGCTGCTCCGTTTGTTGATCTCCGTTCCGCTTAGGATGGCTATGGCGGGCGGAATATCATCCACACACACTTGCGCCTGTCCCCGCGGTGTCGCAACTTGGCGCTCCGCACCGGCCCCCCCCCCTCCGCCCACCTTGCGGCGCCGCGCCGCGTCCCGCCCTCCTCATACTCCTGTACCCCGCCCAATCCTCTGGTCCACCAAACCCCTCCCCCAGCCTGCGGCGGTTCCGTTTGGTCTAGCCCCAGCGCTCCCGCCGCGCTCCCCCCCGCTCCCGCCTAAGGGCGTGGTCCCACTAGCAAAGTGGATCGGATATCAGCGGAGAGGTGCAGGAAAGCAAGAGTGAACTGCTTTTCTGCATCTGTGGATAAAACACATCCAGATTCGGGAGCTTGATCCTATCCTCTTTGCTGCGGGTAGTGGGACCTCGGCCCAGGTCCACAACCTGCCCCGCCTACCGCCTGTCCAGTCCCGCAAATGGAAAAGAAAAAGAGAACAAATATAATTATTTATTATTATCCTACCGGGGGGCGTACTGCGGGGGGAGGTTGTGTCCGCTGCGCGCTGGAATCGGGCCGAAGTTTTGATTCGGGCCAGCGATCGAGGGAGGGGCGGCGTGCAGAGCGGTGCGCGTACCGAACTGTTCACAGCGCGCCAAAAAACGAGTGAGCGCGCCCATCGGGCCGGGCGGCGGCGGGCGTTGATGCGAGGGAAAATCTCGAAGCGCCCACCGTCGGATAGCCGTGCCCCCTTTTTTTTATTTCTTTTTTAATTCATTTCCAGTTCCTTTTTTTTTCTTTCTTTTTTAATTCATTTCCAGTTCTTTTTTTTCTTTTCTTTTCCCTTTTTCCGTCGTCGGTTGGTTTCCTTTTTATTTTCTTTCTTATTTCATTGCAATCTTCTGTCGTGTTTTCGCCTTTTCCGTCGCATTCCTCTGATTTTGTTTTTATTTTTCGTATTCGTTTGTCGTGTTGCCCCTTCCTTTGAGTTGGTGACGACAAAAGCAAGGAGGCCCGGTCGATGGCACCCACCCACATGCTAGTATTAGTATATATACATATATTAGTATTAGTATATATAGTATTTGAAGTTCGTGCACAATGGTTGGGTTGGGGTTTGAACCCACGCACAGATTTTGAAATACCCAATTGCCCGATGCTATAACCACTATGGTGGACTGGGTCCCTGTATGTTTTTGGGGACTGCTGTCTTTTGAAGTGTATCCGACGTCAGGCTGTTGGCACGTCATGATGTGGCTGTGTGTCCGAACCCTAACGTCGCGCAGGCGGGTTCGGTCCAAGCATTTTCAAGCGTGAAGTTTGACGATTTTTCACGCTCAGAACAATTGGCAAAAAAATCTGAAATTTTGATATTCTGTAGATTATGCCGTGATCTTTCCAGGAAAAATATCAGAAATATTAAAAAAAAAAAAATAACGGTGAAGTAAATGCCGCACTGTTTTATCACACTTTTTATTTTTGCTACTCTACCACGTATGGGCCAATGGGAAAAGAAACCCAACTTTCGCGATTTTTTGCAATCAGAAGGATGACCCAACAACTCTGAAACTTTGAGGGTCTATAGATTTGTTTGTGATCTTTACAGGAAAAATATTTAAAAAAATAAGAAAAATCATTTCAACCGCGAAATAAATCACGGGGGTAATTCAATGTAAATTTTGAATTTTGTCACTCTGCCAGCTCCCCCCACTGTACTACCGGTAGCCCTCCTGGACATGTGGTCATGTGCTACCGGTTCCCCCTAATTTTTTTTATCCTACCCCTTAAACCACCAGTACTTGGCCCATACATCGGTCGCGGGCTCTTAGCGTTAACGCTACGCGTTTTTCGGGGTTCGGAAGAGGGTCGGTAGCGCGACGGGGGAGCAAGGTGGATGGCCCAAGGAAAACGGGCAACTGGGCTGCTATGTGTCCTGTTGGTTTTCCGTGGCATGTGGAAACGTCTGCACGGATGCTGAGAGCAAATGGCATGAAAAATGAAGAATAAAAATATGCCACGACGTGAGAAAAAAAAATGAAAAAAAAAAAGAAAAGTAACGTTGGAAGGGCGTTTTCATGATAGAAGTTTGAAATGTATCAGGCCGCATTTATGACCTGGGTGAATATGCCCAGTGATGTTCTGAGTGTTTTCCTTTTTTTTTTTTTTTTTT